CCACCTAAAGAACTTGTTACATAGTAGGTACCAAGAGTTATTGCTGCCGAAACCGGTTTGGCTCAGTGGATAGAGCATAGCTCTGTGGATCTGGAACCTACTGAACAGGATAGACACTAAAACATACTAAGACTTAGGACTCTGGAATCATAACATTATTATTTTTAGTAAGTTACTTAACCTCTCTGTGTCTCCATTTCTTCATCAATAAAATACCTGTAATAGCCAACTCTCATTCCAGCAGTTGGGTGAGATCAACATAATGCACCTAAAGAACTTGGTACATAGTAGGTACCAAGAGTTATTGCTGAGTAAACAGTTGGCTGAGTGAGTAGGAAAAATGACCTCCTAGGTAGAAGAACCTCCAGACCAACTGGTTTCTCATTGGACAAGAGTATTTAGGTCTCCCAGAGGGCAATTCATCCCTAAGAGTTGGCCTTTTATGTTACTTTTCTGACTACTTGCTGGTCTCTGACAAATTTAAGTCTTAGGATTTGTTCCTGGCCCCTCACCAGTGCCAGGGTGGAGGTGGCTCTCTATGGTAAACATGAGGCTGGGAGATTTACAAGGCTATTAAATAGAAACATTATTATTCATGCAAAATTCATACACGAATAAAACATGCTCTGGATGGAGGCTGAAAGTCAATGGGAGCCCACAAATAAACACTTCTGAGACTCTTTAAAACCTCTCTTTGAGCAGAGGAGGGATACAGGTGGATAATGCCCTGCCTCTGTGAATTTAGGCTGCACTCTTTAGCTTTTCTACCAAAACCAAGATATCTGATCATCCTGCCCAGTCTCCACCCCCAGACCCTATCTGATTAAAGTAGGTTATACCCTCTCCCTGCTCTCTCTGAGACCTGAAAGTTGCTTGAACCAATTGAATGGCTAAGACCTGCTTTGTCTCAGGGAAACAACTAGGTGGAATATGCATGATTGTTGCTTATACTAACTGAGCTAGGAGTTTCAGATTCCTTAGTTAATAAAAGTTCCTGGTAGGAAGGACCATTGAGAAGGTGACAAGGCTATGAAACTGTTGCTATAAACTACTTTCCAGCATGAACATAAAAAAACTATATTTGATGGAAAAACTATATTTTTTAACTGATAACTATGCTTATTGAAGTTGACTTAAAAACAAAAAGACAATTTTAAACACTCAGTCCCATTGTCCAAAAAATCACTATAAAAAACAGCAATTTCAGAAATCAAACTGTCTATTCCATACTAACAAACAGTACAGAAATACTTTTTAGGCTATGCAATTCTTTTGCTATTTTTCTCAGATTCTGACCATCCAGTCTTGTGCGTCTGCTTCTCCTAACTCACACTGGTTCTTCTATCTTGTTTTTAACATGAGGTATGATTGGCTATAGAAAGACAAACATAGAATACCTTACCTCTCCCCCACCCCCAAATTCTATAAAGTCTTCTTGAATACCATAAACCTATTACAATTCTAGTACCAGTGATCAAATATACTTCATGCATAACTGTTTTAGAGTTCATGGAACATTCTATGTCGAACCTCATCAACAGCAGTTAACCTAGGTCATTTGAAGATGAGTTTTAATTTTAGAATAATTAAACTTGGGGATCCTATTTATTCTGAAACAAGAAATCAATCTAAAATAATTCAGACTTGCTAGATTTCTTGAGAAATAGCATGATGTAGAAGAGAGAGCATGGGATTTAATTAGGCTTGCATTTGAACCCAGCTCTTTATCTCCTAGTTACAAGAGCTTGGTCAAGTAACTTACATTCCAGATATTCATTTTCTTCATAAAATGTCATAGTAATGATGCTGACATTACAGGGTGTTGGATCCAAGCGGCCCCTCTACCAGTGAAAACATGAGAATCCCAGAACACCTTGTAAGGACGCCCCTACCCCTGGCCACCTGCTACTTTACTTACAGATGCATTCTGGGAATAGTTCCAAAGAAGGGTTCAAAACTATTTTAAGCTATGCCACCAATATTGGAATAAATGGATAACACTCAAAGGTACAAATTTGAAGATAGTGATTATTTGAATGTATAAGCTCTGGTTTACTTGTTAAAAATACTATGGGGCCACTTAACCCTGGGGTACAATATTCACAATGGCAGCAGCAACAGATACCATATGGATGCCTACACCATTAGGATAAATGTCTTTTCCACATTAATGATGTATATTAATTCATTTATTTCTCCCTAGGATCCAATGAGATCCATGTTCTGTACTTGTACTTTACAGCTGAGGAGGTGAAATCAAAGAGATTAAGATATTTTTTCCTAAGGTCAAAAACTATAAATATCAGAGTTGTGATTTTTTTTCAGAATAGTAAATGTTAATGGGATTGCTGAAGGGAAAAATATTTATGTTACAATTCTTATTCTTTCTCAATTGTGAGTTTTGCCAACGATGGGTGAGGGACTAATACAGCTCACAGGCACAGGCGAAAATGGAGAAGGACATATGTAAAGACAGTGAGGCTGCATAGAGTGAGCCTGCAGAAGGACATAAAGAAGCCTGATACTCATATTCTGAATATTTAGGTTGACATCAATATGTCATGTGCAATAATTCTGAGTGACTTACTGTATACATTGCTATGACTATTTTTGCTGAATTGTAATTAATAATTGAAAATCATTCTTCCCAAGTGTGAAAATATATTTTGTTTCCAAAGGATCAAAATTTCCACAGATAAAACATTGCCATTCAAATTTAAATAAAACAATCCATTTGAGTGATTCTCACTAAAGTCAAGCTTTCTTTTTCTCCTATTTATTAAATGTATTGGGGTGACATTGGTTAATCAAATCTATAATACATCATCTATATATTGTATCGTGTGTTCACCATCCCAAGTCAAGTCTCCTTCCATCACTATTTATTCCCCTTTAAGCTTTCTAAGGCATAAGTTCAGGAATGAAGAGAAGGTAGGAAGCAGTCAAAGTCATCTGTCTAGCTTACAGTTACCAGTTACAGCCATAGTTACACCTGAAAACAACTATGGCTTCCAGTACAAATTACTGTTAAGAAACAGGTTGGATGAAATAGGATGAAATAGGGATGAGGCTGCTGGCTGTGCAGGGGCAGCCATTCTGTGCCCAATTGAACTTATGTCTGTTATTTAACACCAGAAAAGCTCCAGTGCAATTGTCATTGTCTTGCCCCTTCCATGTTTATAGGCTCAGACCTGAGCCCTTAGCTTTGTCTTTTAATATGGGATGGCTTACTAAAACATCTAAACTGAACTTTAGCTTTTGACTGTAATGTGAAGGAAGAATTCATCCAGCTGGGATCAGAGTAATACTCACCCATTCCCCGAAATGGGAAGATTTTGACTCTCCTAAAATGAACAACATTCAGAAACATGGTCCTATTATTTATTGCTTATATCACCTAAGCACTGAGGGTGCAACAATGAAGAAAATCTAAAACTCCTACACTCATGGCACTTACATTCTACTGGGGAAGATAGGCAATAATAAAGCCATCACAGAGCATGGTCACTCCAAATGGCAATTAATACTAAGAAGACAATAATCATGCTGATGTTCTAGAGCAGTGATGGCGAACCTTTTGAGCTCGGCGTTTCAGCATTTTGAAAAACCCTAACTTAACTCTGGTGCCGTGTCACATATAGAAATTTTTTGATCTTTGCAACCATAGTAAAACAAAGACTTACATTTTTGATATTTATTTTATATATTTAAATGCCATTTAACAAAGAAAAATCAACCAAAAAAATGAGTTCGCGTGTCACCTCTGACACGCGTGTCATAGGTTCGCCATCACTGTTCTAGAGAGTGCCCAGGTGTAGGTAAGATCACATGGCTTCAAAAGGCATTTCTGAGGAGATGATAATTTTACTGAGACATGAGTGACCCAAAGATGCCAACCATGTTGAAATTTGGAAGAAATCCTTGCATGTGCTATTTTTTTCTGGTAGAAATAAGCCTGGATTAATTCAGGTACAAGAGATAGTAGTGTGACTACAAAACAGTAAACAAGGGAAGAATAGTAAAAAATTAAGGCACAATGATAATAGCAGGCCATATTACATACAACGAAGCAAGCCAAGGAAAAACATTGGATTATATTTTAAGGGTGAAGGGAAGCTGTTCTCAGCACAGGAGTGATAAGACCTGATTTTGGTTTTTAAAGTATAATATGGTTGCTGCGAGGAGGATAGAGTTTAGGGTGCATGGGTGAAACTAGAGAAGGAATTAGTAGACTGTTTGAAGAATTTATTCAGCAGAAGACATGGGGTAAAGGTGCTTTGAGTTAGAAGGTATTTTGGAAGTAGAGGCTTGCAAGGACTTGCAGATGTTTGGTCGAGAGAAAGGGGCAAAATCAAGCTCTCCTGGGATTTTGACTTAAGTAAATGAATGGATGTCTGTGTGTTTTATTGAGGCTGGAAAAACTGGACTGGGGTGGAGATAGATTCAAGATGAATTGAAAAACTGCTTCCAACAGTGATAGTTCAGGAAGAGTTCTGCTTTGGCCACAAATAAATAGAAGGGGAGATGGATGTTGAGCAGATGAATGAACACAAATGTCTCCATGCTAGAGGCGAAGGAGGCCAGAGCTGAAGGTAAATACTTGGAAATTTGTGAGTCTAATAGTTTAGGTTTCACAGTGTCCTTTGTGGTTGTCAGTGGAGGGCGGAAAGACAGAAATGATGATGAGAGTTCAAGTGGAAGAGTGCAATTTGAGCAAACTTGTCTGAAGGTTACTGTCCAAGGCGGTAGCTCTCGCCCAGCCTCTCTGGTACTTTCCAATGCAGCTACTCCCTGAAGATGAGAAGTCCCCTTGGACACGCTTCTCTGTGAAAATGCCTCCTTGTGTCCCTCTTCCAGGGATGCAAACTTCCCATCTTGCCCAGGAACTGGGGTAGGTGGGCCTACAGGCCAGTAGTTCCTCCCCTAACTCATCTTCCTTCTCTCCCCCCAAACAAGTAAACATCTTGTTGAAAATGGCATTGAGAGGCCAAGGGACTCACCACTCAAAGTCCCAGTCGGCACAGACACAGGGTTCTGAGACCACCGTCCCCGAGGAGTCTCGGCCCAGGGCACACTGAGCTCCTGGCTTGCGTTTCTTGAATATTTTCCTTTCTCCCATGACACAAGGTTCCCCCTTAGAAAGAAAGTCCACAGTGAGAAAGGCAGAAACACACAAAGAAGATGAAGTAAAACAGCTTCTCAACAGGAAGCATTAGGCTTTTCATTCTCTTTTCGGCTCATTCCCAGTAACAGTTTGGGAGTTTCAAGGATAAAAGGGCTGCTCTTTTACTATCATACAGAAGGAAAACTATGCAAGGCTGGCCTATCACTATCCCTCCTCCCAACTTGGCCAGTGATGTTTACTCCATCCTGTTTCTCCTCCATCTCCATAGGGAATTCCAAGACTCCCACCATCCTCACAGACACCCCAATTGCCCAAATGGTTTCAGCAGAAACTCTAGTGGAAAGGATTCCACTTCTGGCATATTTTTCACATCATCTTCAGAGTAAAACTGAAGATCCCTCTCTATGATAAACAACCCTGCCCAAGTCTTTATTCCTAGCCAAGGGCAAAAAGAACAGAAGTTTGTGCAAATTACAAGGATCCAACGGTTCCAAAGAACGCAGATGCCTGATTATGCTGTGTATCAATAAACATCTGCTATTGGTAGAGACCCTCACTCCCACCCCTCACCCTTTCTTAGTGGTCCTGTTCCTGATGCTCTTGGGCCCTTACTCCAAGCTAGCCTGAGAAATGCTCCTCCCCTCAATGGGGAGGTATAATGATTGAACCTATGGAGGGTCAGTCTCCTACCTGTCTGAGCCTATTTCTCGATGGGTAGAGCTAAAAACCCAGGTTATCACTGCTCCCCATCACAGTGATCCCAGGGTGCAAAATTGTCCCCAATACCATCTAACTCTACTGAACCTGGATATATGGGCTTCACCCCTTCCCCTAAATCCACCGTTATCCTCAGAGGCCCCACTTCAATAGAAAGGGCCAGATAGGAATAACAGGGCTTTTAGTAGCTCTTCTTCCTTGTGGTGTACCTGATTGAGCAGGTGCCAGGTCTGGTAGTCTTCCTTGGTGCAGCGCCGGCTGAAGATAGATTTGTAGTCCACTTTCACCAACTGCCACTCAGAGCGAAGGCTGAAGTGGCCAAAAACTCTGTGTTTAGGGGAGGGATGGGAAAGACAAGCAGAGAAGGCCTTGAAGTCAGTCACAAATGCACAAAGACTGGGGGATAGAAGACTGAATTGCAGCCTGGCCGTCACTAGTTCTTTCAAAGTATGTTCTTTGAAGGCCATCGAGTAGAAGTCTACTGTATACACAACACCAGTGAAATGCATTCACAGTGGGTTTAAAAAACCAATCATTTTTTTAAAATATATATTTTATTGATTTTTTACAGAGAGGAAGGGAGAGAGATAGAGAGTTAGAAACATCGATGAGAAAGAAACATCGATCAGCTGCCTCCTGCACATCTCCCACCGGGGATGTGCCCGCAACCAAGGTACATGCCCTTGACCGGAATCGGACCCGGGACTCTTCAGTCTGCAGCCGACACTCTATCCACTGAGCCAAACCGGTTTTGGCAAACCAATCATTTTTTAATTGAAAAAGTAATATCTATGCTTTATAGTAAAGAATTAAAATATAGAAAAGTACAGAGAAGGAAAAATTCAAAGTCCAAAATTCTCCACCAAGATAGAATTGTTGGTCATATTTTGACATTCAGCCTTGTATGTCTTTAATTCCAAGCAATGGCATTTTCTTTACTGATGTCCACCGACAAGGACTGTTTCCTCATCTGTAGATTGTGTCTGTGTATGTTGGAGTGGGAGGTGGGTTGACAAGGACTGTTTCCTCATCTGTAAAGTAGATTGTGTCTGTGTATGTTGGAGTGGGAGGTGGGTTAGCTAATCAAAAGTATGACCTTGCCAATTCCAAAATTTCAACTGAGTATAAGGATATTTATTTGAAATTCCCATTGCTTAATTTATATGAATACCATCCTCCTCCTCCCTTCCTTGAAAATTCACAGGAGTCTCATAAAAGAAACTCATATTTATGTATAGTAAAATAGCACACCATATGAGTAGATAATCCATACTGACCTTTTCAAAGCTCAGCAGTTGATAGCCCTATAAATATGAATAATCAATCGTTTCTAGAAAAAATAGATTGATCATTCATACTCCACTCAAGTGGTATATCTTGTAATTACAATGCAAGACATCCATCACAGTGATGTAAAGGGGAGACCAATATGCCAGGAACTTAAATCAACTGAAATCTTTCAAGGAATTGGATGACTTCCATTTCATTAAGACTTACTCATGCTCCCAGCCCTGGATTTGTATCTCCCCAAGTTCAGGTATTCTGATAGTGACACTGAGAAACTAACTCTCCTCAAGGGACATGTCCTTCTGCCCCCTGAAACACAAGGATGCTTTGGGAGGGGTAGGAGCTGATTAAGATTGTAAAATAGAGAAAGAAATAGAATTGCTGTTTAGATCAAACAACTTAAAATACACTTTAAGAAATGACTTATAGTGATCTAATGGTTCAATATTAAATAAAAGTTTTAGAGCTTTGTCTAAAAGAAAATTAAACAGACTTTGAGGGGGAGACTGAGGGTTTCTCCTTTAGTAAAACTGTATGGTTGTTGTATGAGTCTTAGCTCAGCCCTGGGAAGTGGAAGCCATGGGGCTAAATATCCTGGGTTGTGTGGCCCATATTTTGTGGAGCAGAATGAACTTAATTTAAGTATCTTCCCTGGTTCTCTCAGTTCTCTTAGATTCTTGTTATATTTAGTGGTCTTCTAATAATCCAATACATCCATGTCAAGTCTCAACTAAGGTATTTTCACCTTATTAGCTCTCACTCATTTCATGGAGAGATCATGAGTCAGTCCATTTGAAATTTTAACAAAACAGTTAACTCATCAAAAGTGTATACTTATTTGAAGAGAGGAGAGTTAAGCTGAAAGCTCACAGGCGAAAAGAAAAAAAAAACAACAAGAGTGGGAGGAGACTTTGATGAATGTCTCTTCCCTCTCTATCCAGTCTATCTAGTCCTGCCATATTCAAACGCCACCTCCCCTATAAGTCATCCCTGATTGGAGGGCTCTTAGTAGCAGGTTATCAGTGATGCTAAACTAAACATTCTGCCTACTCCAAATAGTTTACAGTTATTTCATGGATCATAAACTACATCATGTCAGATTAATTCCAGTCCTTTCTATGAAAGGATTTCTAGACAGACAGAAGAGGGAAATATGGGGCATATGATTTACCTATCAGCAAGGCACCTGCCATGGTCTGCCACAGCACTCGTGAAAAAAAAGATGAAAAAATATGAGCCAGGTGCTAGTAAAATTATGTGGCTGAACAGTACCTAATTAAGGCATTAAAATCAACCACGAAGGAGGGTGTGAGTAGTCAGCTGCAAGGTTCTGCCGTCTGCTCTTTCTTGTTCTTCATTTTTATTAATGACTTGAAGACATGAAAATAATGGTCATCATTGGAAATCACATTTTCTGATGACACAAAGCTGGAAGAAACGGTCAATACACTTGATGGCAGAATCAGGACCCAAAAAGGTCTTGACAGAATGAGAGACAGGCTGAATTTAACAGCATGTGACACAACCGGATGAAATGTCAAGTTTTCCCTTTGTCAACTACATAAGTATTATATAGATGAAATGGGGCTCAGTGAAACTCAGCTTAAATAATAATAGTGATGATAATAATAACAACAACAATAATAATGAAAGCTTAAGAGTTTTCATGTATAATGAGATTAATATAAGTACACACTTCAGAGAGACCAAAATATTTAAGGTGATCTGAGAATGCATTAATTAATACAAAATTATGTATATTATCTAGAGCAAAAGTGGAAATATCCTGGTCTATGCTACATTACACTAGATCACAGAGAAAATTTGTAGTTAGTTTTGGATGTCATCATTCAAGAATGATATAAACTATGTACCTCAATGTGCAGTACACGTATAAGCTTTGGTGGTAATAGTGGAATTTGAATCTCTTAAAATATTAAGTAAAATATGTGTTCATTGGCATATGTGTTTATATGTAGAGAAAGTACATATATTTTATCAGATTTTCAAAGGGGTTCACAGTTCCCGATGTTTAAGAACCACTGAAAAGGAGAGTGATCAAGATTGTGTACTGAAATGAATAGTGGCTCCCTAAGAGATCTGACCTGTAACCTTGAATGAGACCTTATTGGAAAAAGGTCTTTGATTTACAAGTTAAAGATCTCCAGTTGAACGTATCCTGGATTATCAGGATTAGCCTGAAGTCCAATATGACCCAGCAACCCCTCTTCTGGGTATCTAACCAAAAAACTTGAAAACATTTATTTGTAAATATATATATATATATAGATATAGATATTCATTGCAGCATTATGCACTGTGGCTGAGACATGAAAACAAAGTGTCCCTCAACAACTAATTGGATAAAGAAGATGAGGTACATATATAATATGCAATACTACTCAATATGAGAAAAGATGAAATACTGTCATTTGTAACAACTTAGATGGATCTTGAGAATATCATGCTGAGCAAAATAAGTCAGATTGGAAAAAGTCAAGGACCATATGATTTCACTCACATATAAAACTGAAAGCAATAAATGAACAAACAAAACTCATAGACATGAATAACAGTATCGTGATTACCAGAGGGAAAGAGAGGTAGGAAAGAATCAGTAAAGGGCAAAGGGGATCAAATATATGGTGAAGGAAGTAAAACTGACATTGAATAGTGAACACACAGCATGATGTACAGATGATATATTATAGATTGTATACTTGAAACCTTATACTCTCATAATCTTATTAGCCAATGTCACCCCAATACACTTAATTTAAAAAATACCCCATCCCTGGTTGGTGTGGCTCAATTGTTTGAGCATCGTCCCATGCAATGAAAGATTGCTGGTTCCATTCCAGGTCAGGGCACATGCTGGGGTTGCAGGCTCCATCCCCGGTAGGGGGCATGCAGGAGGCAGTCTATTGATGGTTCTCTTTCACATCAATATTTCTTTCTCTTTCTCTCTCCCTCTCCCTTCCTCTCTCTCTAAAAAAGAAATAAAAAAAGTTCCCTGGATGTTGAAATATGGTGAGAAATGAGGAGGAAAGTAGGCTCTTTTAGTATAGATTAAAAAGACTTTAAGAGATTTTACATGAATCTATTATCTATCTATCTATCTATCTATCTATCTATCTATCTATCTATCTATCTAGCTATCTATCTATCTATCAAGAAGTGATGTAAAAGCTATGGCTGGTTTACCTGGAGATAACTTAGGAAGGGGCAGGAGAGAGAGTCCAATAAGTAGCCATTCTAGGGAGATATCTTAAGTATTAAAAAATAACAAAACATGAAAAGGTAAAAGTTTAAAAAATATGAGAGGTCTTTCTAATAGATAAAGTTAGTCCACAGAGGAAAGGAATGCTTAAGCATTAGTAAGCTTAGGACTTCAAGTTCAGGCTTAACCACTTCCCAGGGCTCTTGTTGCAGAGAATATACTAGTAAGCGTCATTCAGGCACATAGCCTAATTGACCCTGAGCCTCTAAGGATGTTCATGATCTGTTTATGATCTCAGAGTGCTCATTTCAGGACTGAACACAGAAATCGGTCCCCAGTCAGGACTTGTGGACTAATTCAGGTTCTTCTCTTCTGTAATCTTGGCAGGTGCATTATTTTCATCTCTATTTCTTTGGCTTCTATCCCAGATTTTCTTACATTGTGCATCCCAGGTCCTTCCCCAAACTATAAATTGATACACTAATATTTCCACTTAGGAGTGTGCTAATCTCCTTGCCATGTGGTCTCTGCAACATGCCAGATGCAAAATGTTAAACATTTTATGTTAGGTCTATCAGTTTAGTTCATTTTCTCATTGGACCCAACTAAGATCAGTGGGATAAAAACCCTTAGCAACTTTCAGACATTAATGTACTTCCCCTATTTCCATCCATTATTAGTTCTAGGAAGAAAAGGTTTATTATGGGGCCCCTCCAGTGGGGCGTAAGTGACTCTGACACAAGGTCTCTCTTTTGCATAGATCTGGCTTCCCTAACTCTGCTCAATCCTGTCTCTATCCATTTCTCTCCTGATTAGAGGT